AAGTGGGGAACTACGGGGTCTGAGGAGTTCCCCAGAGGATAAGTCAGGAGATATTCTATATTTTTATTATTGATCACAAATTTCATGTGCAGAAGCAAAACCACTACATTACTACAAATACTGGCCGAAGAAACAACAACAGATGATCAGTTTTAGCTGAATCTAGTAACAATGCCGAAAAGGTAAATGTAAAATATAAGAAAAGCAAACCACAATATGGAGGATTGAAACTGTCAAAATATATATAAATAAATAAATACAAATAAAATGAAATAAATAAATATGCTATTAAATGCACCAAAAATATTATTAAAAATAAATATGCATTCATTATTTATAAATGTAACATAAATTAATATTACTGTTTTCATTTTTAATTTAATTTAATTTAATTTAATACAATGTGGTATTTATTGTTGTGTATACATATATATAACACACATATATTGTGTCCATACATATACACAATATACAGTAATATATATACTGTATATTTTATATTTATTTATTTATTTAGTGTGTTTTTATTACGTGTCTTTGAGTACCATGAACAGCACTTTATGAATATTATGTATAATTATTATTATTAATTTGCTTTATTATTTATTTACCTTTGCATTACATTTCCTAATTATTTACTTTCCCATTTAATATTCCATTTTAAATAAAAATAGGATTTATTTATTTTTGATTTTGGCAGTTTCTGTCCTCCGTACACTTTGTGACTAACGACTATAAAAGTATGTAAACTTAAACTGGCTCTGTAGCCTCATATTCTGACTGATTTTAAAACTGTCAGTGGATTTGTGCTTAGCTCAGTTACGACTTTAAGTGCTGTGAATTATAAATCTCTATGTGGACATTAAGGGGTTAAAGGTTTTTGGTCAACAATACAATAGCACAAAGTAATAAGATATATTGAGCTTTGATACGCAGACGTGTTAGTAAATACATTCAGGATTGTTTTCTGGTCATACACATGAGATTTAATAACAAGAATATCTAATAATAAGAAGAAATCTAGAATATCAGCAGATATACACTTTAATAAATGCAGGGGCTGTGGAGGGAGATATATTTCTGAGATTGAAGTTTCTTAAATTAAGAAAACCTTTTAGCAACACATACAAAAACATTCCTGAGTTAAGTGCCAGCTTTGACTAACTGTTTTAACTGTGACTGAGAAGATTTTGATGAGATTTAATCTGAATCTAACGGACACACTGTGGATTAAACAGCGTCAGCAGTCCTGCCGCAGCACTCTACATTTGCCTTTTGCCTCTCCTCTCCACTCCACAGCCTGCATTTAGCCCACAGTGACACTCAGCAGAAGGGATCCGGTAGAAAAGCCATTAGCCTAACACGGAGTGGGAGTCAGTGTCTCCTATACATCGGCCATATAAACCCTCCACTGCCACTTGTGCAGTTACCCATCAGCACTGATTTCTGCTCTTCTCTGAAGTGCGCTCCATGACAACCCAACGTCCTCCCACCCGTTGGATCAGGCATGTTTGTTGGTTTGTTTGGTGGCTGTAAAGCAAACATTTATGTTGATCCATTTGGACTGTACAAATACTGTGGGGTTAACATTTTAGTTGTCAGGGATGTAATGAATATAAAACTGTTGCCGTTGCTCCATTTCCTGTCTGATTACAAATACAGCATGCGTGTTTCTGAAGACCTCAGTGTGGTAACCTCTGCTGTCGCCATCTTGGCAGTCCTGACTCCGCCGCTATAATCCAAAAAATGGGCAAAAAGGTGGATTGTGGGTGGAGCTGAGTCGTACAGTTGTGCCGAACCAAAAGGTTGTAAACATGTTTATTTCTGCTGTAAAGTTGGACATTTTAATATGGGGCCTTATGGAGACTGCTGGAGCCTCTAGTGGCCGTTAGAGGAACTGCAGGCTTTGGCGGTTCAGCGTTGGCCACGGAGGTTGCCACTCAATTATTTCACGTATGAATCATGTGGTTATTAAGTTTGGATTTTCAGATATTTCATGTACAAACTGAAGACATCACGTATGAAACCCGTTTCATAATTCACATAAAGAAGCTGAAAATAAAGTCACATACAGTCGCATGTTTGTTTGTCCCTCTTTAAACGCCTTCCTAAATGTAGCATAAGACCTTAATTTGGAACCAAACATTGACAGGAAACATGAAGATTTAAACTGCTGGGAGGACTTTGTGGTGTTGGGACGTGATGTGTCACTCGGGGGGGGGATCTCTACAGTAGTAAAGCGATGATGTGCGTCTGTTGGACAACGAAGCAAAACATGAATAATGGATTTCCTTCCAGGCGGGTGGAGCTCCAACCTGCTGGAAACATGATGCAAGAGATTTCTTTGAATCTGGTTTCCTGGTTTTAACTGCCTCTTTATTTATGTGACTAATTCTAACAGATGAATTCATTTAATGAGTCGTACTTGGGTTGGTGTGACTGTATCATGACATGTTCACAGTGTCTTCTCCTTTTGTAAATCACCATCCACACTTTTACTGTTGTGTGACGCACTGGTTCCCAATCTTTTTTATTATTTAGTGAATTGACTAAGTCACATATTTTATGGATGTTTCATGTTGTACTATCAAAATCGCAATATTAGTTTTTTTACCATATCTTGCAGCTCTGTTAAAGACTAATAAACTCAGTAAGTGCAAAAAGCTGAAAATTAGACCTTCTGTGTATATTTGTGTGTATAAGTTTAAAGTAAGAGATAGAGATATATATAGAGAAGATATATATTTTTTATATTTATAAAATGAAAGCAAACCTAAACTAAAGACCGAAATAAATGGACAGTCTGATCCACTGTGGCAGAGTAAAAACAGCTGGATGGAATCTTTTAAATTCCATTAATTTATCTTTTATCAATTATAGCAATGAAGGTACAGATTATGGGTTGATTAATAGATTATAGGATATTATGTCATGTATCTGTAAAAGAAATCCTTAAAATGAATCAAAGGAAATGAAAGCATCCCTCAGTCTAAAGGTCCAGTGTGTAACATCTGACCTCACTCACCTCACAGTATTTCCTACCTGTAACATGAAACCAGCCTTTATGAATCCATAAACTGATGATTAATGCATTCATCAAAGAGGAAAAAGGTCACGAACCTCTTAAAATCCTTTTTTTATTTTATTTAAATGTCTGTGTTTCTGAGGTGTTTTTCGTCTTTTCAAATTAAAAGACAAACTTCAGTGAGTGAAGCAGAAACCATGAAGTGACCGTAGATGAACAAACAAGTAAAAACCGCCCCAGAGACAAAGCGGCTGCAGTATAACTGTGAACACATGTACTCAAATGATAAATTGTCTCTTTGGCGTCATCCTGACAA